AAAATTTCATTTTTAATTAAGTAATTATAAAACCAATAGTCTAAAAACATCCGTAGTGTCATCCCATATCAAAACCAATATGTCAATAATCAAAACATGTCATAATAAAACAACATCAGAGTATAACTCCCAAAGATCTCATGTGCGGAAATCATGGTGTGATGCGTTGCGATCATGCCGACTTTTTTCCTTTTGAAGAAGAGGTACCTGAAACCAAAACTGAAAACTGTAAGCACGAAGCTTAGTGAGTTCCCCCATCATACCACATACCGTACAATAAACATATTGACAAACATATCCGGGTGCTAGCCTACCCCTTCGGTCTCTTTCAACCGGTAACCGCCTAGCATATCTGGGTGCTGTCCTACCCCTTCGGTCTCTTTCAACCGGTAACCGCCTAGCATACTTGGGTGCTGGCCTACCCCTTCGGTCTCTTTCAACCGGTCACGGGGACTATTTCACCCCTACCACTACCACATAATGTCCTAGCATATAAACACATAAATCACATACTGCCTAGCATATGTGGGTGCTGGCTTACCCCTTCGGTCCTTTCGACCGGATATGGGGTCTGTTTCACCTCCTACCACTACCACATAATAACATAACAGATAAGCACATCAATCTCAACAGATAGTGGCATACCAGACAATTATCACCAAGACAATCGTCTCTACTGTAAACAACTACTAATGGGCCGGCATTGGTGCGTTCGACCCATTCATACCGGGAAGGTAACTCACCTCGCACTGCTGAAGTTCACTGCAGGAAATCCTTAGCAGCTGCCCTGGAAACTCCTCGAGCTATCAATACCCAAAATATCACCCAATTAGCAATTGGGTCTCAAACCATGATCCAAAATCCCTACTTAGGGTGAAATGACCGTTTCACCCCCGACCCATCAAGGTCCATACTATAAAATCCATGAAAGCCCATCAATGGCCCAATTTTCCAAATTGGGCCCAAACCCTTACATGGGACTACCCTTTAGAACCCATTTCGTACTTCATAACCCTCCAAGGGTCAACCTTGGTCAAAGTCAAGTCAAGGTTAAAGTCAACATCCAAGTCAAAGTCAAAGTCAACGCTCCGAGTTGACTCAACTCATCGAGTTGTCCTTCAACTCAGCAAGTTCCCATAAACCTCAGAATCGCGATACTACGAATCAACTCGTCGAGTTGTCCCTTAACTCGTCGAGTTCTTTCCTTTTCAACAGAATCGGGACATACTCATATCAACTCGCTGAGTTCCTTTGTGAATTCGTTGAGTTCTTCAGTCTGTTAACCATTCTTAATGCATTAATCCATTTCTCTCGAATCCAACAGCTCCAAACCTCAGGTCCTTTCCATTATAATGTCTAGAAGGGTAAATTTTCCAACTTTACCCTCAAGAACCATCTACTAAGCTTAAAACTCAAACCCTAGTTTCTTTAAAGGTGGTCTTGATCCATTAATCCCCTAAACTCCTACTACAACACACCAACATACAGATCTGATGTCCCAAGGTGGACAAATCACGTAAAGTTTCCAACTTTACGTTCATGCATGCTAGGCACATTTTTGGCACACATGTTTTTGGCTTCACAATGGCCATATTGCATGAATGGGACATGGAGACCATTAAAGTTTGCAACTTTAAGCCTCAATAGGTCATATAAGGGTCATATCTATCCCATTAACCCCTACAAACTTCTTCTCTTCGGACCATTTGATCAAAGCCCCAAAACTCAAGCTAAAACTTCAAGAAAAAGGATCTAGTAAGCTATATGTCAAGGTGACGACTTTACACCTTAGAGATGCATCTCTTGATGAAGGGTTTCTAGATCTGGAGTCACTCCTCCAAGCTAGGTGCTTCCCTCTTCAAGTATCCTTCAAGAATCACCAACAAATACTCTTTATGAACTCACAACACTAAAAAATGGCCTTAGGGTCTCGAGGTTAGGGTTTTGGACGATAGAGGCTGGAAATGAGGCCAAACCCTAGAGCTTAAATTGTTTAAATAGGGTGCAAAGTCTCGATTTTAGGGTTTCCCAAACCCAGTCCAACTCGTCGAGTTGGTTTTCCGAAAACACACGACCTTGATTTCTAACACGTCGAGTTCTTCCTCATGGACTCGACGAGTTGGCTTTCTAATTGAATGTTTTTCTTTCCTTAATCGGCCTTCTAGATTTCGGGTGTTACAGACTAACAGAGTTAATAGATCCATCTGGTAAAAAAATTGGTGTATATCTATAAACTTTGCTGAGCTTCTTCATATGATCAATGTTAGAACACATATGAGCAGTAGCTCCGGTGTCTAATATCCAAATAGATTCATTAAAATTACCACTATTTAAAGAGTTTAATAGTGATAATTCAATGCCTACAAAGTCTCCAAAGTGTAAGAAATTCACAGAGTGTGAATCAGCCTTTTGATTAGCCTTCATAAACTGACTGAATTTCTGGAAAAGAGCGTTCATGGAATCACTATTGTTGTTAAGAGAATCATATTCTTGATCACCATAAAAGGATTATTATCACTTTCATTAACATTTTCCATATGTTCATAATTAAAGTTACTTTTCTTCTTATCTTTAAGATCTGTGTACCAGTTTGGGTAACTATTCAACTCGAAACAAGCTTCTTTAGTATGTCTATTCACTTTACAGTGGTTACGATATCTATCTCCATTCTTCACTTTGTAATCAGTTTTAGGTTTGTATGACAATGATTTTTTCTCATTAGAAGATTTAGCAAGCATAACAGAAACCTCAGTAGGAATGGAGAAATTAATCTGGACTTCTTTTTGTTTTTTAACACTTAATGCCATTGAGTATCCCTTATGAACAGAAGGCAAAGGATCTATATAGTACAAGAATTTGATTCCTTAAATTCTCATAAGTGTCATTAAGTCCCATGAGAAATTGCATTAGACGAGTTAAAAGAATTGAGATATGCAGATCCACATGTACACGAAGGCATAACAACTAAACAGTTCAATTGATCTCATAGTTGCTTTAATTTTGTGTAATATTTAGATAAAGAAGAATCACCTTGATTAATTGAAGCCATCTGTCTTTCTAGCTGATATATATCAAGGGACCATTACTTTCACCGAAGTGTTCTTCAAGATCGATCCATAATTCTCGAGCAGTAGTAGAGAAAACAAAAGCACTGACAATTTCTTTTGAAATTGCATTACGTATCCAAGAACGAACCATACAATCATTGTTGATCCAGTCATCAAGTTTATTTCCTTCAGCTTCAGGCTTCTTTGTAGTTCCATCGATAAAACCGATCTTCTTCTTAGCTCCTAAAGCAATTTGGATTGAAAACTTCCATTGCTTGAAGTTTTCAGTTCCAGTAAGATGAGTTGGAACGAGAAACATGCTTGGATCATTACTTTTAAAGTTGTTGATCGAAGAAGAATTGTAATTGGAGGAATTAGGATCAGTAACGTGATCTGAATTCATAATTGTGGAAGAAAAATTCAGATCAATTTGAATAGAAATGGATCAAAACCTCTCTGATACCATTTCAACAATTGATACAAGATAGAGAGAGAAAGTAAATTGATGCATAATCTTTCATTATCTTCATTGATTCTGAATCACAGAATATATACAGAGAGATAGAAACAAAACTTACTATTCTATGTGTTTACAACTAGATACCTTGCACTTATTATATTTACAATGTAAGTCCCTCTACTTGATTGATAATTTCACATGCAAAAAAAACAACTTTATGAAAACATAATATATAATTGCACTTGATAAAAACAATTAATTATAACTATCTTGTATTGGGGCTAGAAATACAACAATTTAGTCGGTAGTTGGATTGCATATTTAAAAACTTAAAAAAAGAAAAGTAAAACATGTGTGTATGCTCACACATATGAGTGTGGGTGTGGGCGTGTGCATGTATGTGTGCATTCGTGTGCGGGTGTAGGGGTGTTCATGGTTCGGTTTGAAACCGTGAAACCGGCCAAACCGGTCATTGGTTTGGTTTCGCGGTTTATATTTTTCTGAACGGTTTGGCTTGCGGCTTCAAACTTTTCAAACCGTAATGAATGGTTTGGCTTGCGGTTTCAAAATTTTCATACCGTATAAAACCGGACCGCACCGTAGGATATATATATATATATATATATATATATATATATATATATATATATATATATATATATATATATATATATATATATAAATGAATTTTTTCATATGTTATTATATATAATATTGTTTTATTATATATTAATATTTATATATGTATAATATTAATTTATAACCCAAAATTAACTTTTACATCAACCTAGTTCTAAATCACAATTCAAACGTCCATACTTTTCGTTTCCGTTATCACTTTTCAATTGGAGACAAAACTTTCTTTCCAATTTCTCATCGCAAAATGTAGGGAAGCAATCGCAGTTTAATCGGTTCCTGTATCGCCTATATTACAAATATTTCATATTTCATATATTTTGATTTTTTTAAACAGATTTTATTTGACTGTTTATGTTGACAAAATTAGTTTAATATGCTAGACTCAAGTGAGTCTAAAATGCCCAAACCGTGAAACCAAACCGAAGCCAAACCGTTAGTAACGGTTCGGCTTGGTTAAATTTTAATTTTCAACGGGTTGGCTATGGTTTTCGATTGACAAAAACCGTTACTAACGGTTTGGCTTCGGTTTGACCTAAAAACCGAACCGTGAACACCCCTATGCGGGTGTGGGCGTAGAATTGAGCTTGGCATAAACTCATCATTAAACTTAGCATCGGAAATATCATTGTCTTTTCTGTAAAACATAAAAAATAAATATTTGTCGACTAATTCATTAAAATTTAGAATTTAACGTACGGGAGTTTAAACAATTCCAATTTCTTTGATTTTCAAAACAACTAAAATTTACAAACCAGTTTCTCCAAATTTTTCGAAATTCACAAACCAAATACGACCATATTAGATTCTATAATTTGACAAAACATTGAAAAGCTAACACGTTATTGAAGACATCCTTACCAAAATTTGAAGAGTAGTAAAAAGTTCAGTAAGTAGCCCATGATCAAGATCGATGAGAAGAACCCAACCGGAAAACCAAACCATGCTCCCTCCCACAACATCCACGATAGTTTCTCGTCTTCCTCCTCACTCTCTTCTGTTGGTGTCGGTGGGATATCCTCGGGGCATTTGATCATAATCTGCATGCCGCATAATCCACTATTGTTTGCAAAAAACTTTAACTCGTTCATCGTGTTCATTTGCCAACCAGTTGGAATCTTACCTGTTAGCCTGTTGTTGCTCACATCCAGTATTGCAAGTTGATCCAACTTCACTAGTGATTGAGGAATTGAACCAAAGATTTTGTTGTGCGACAAATCTAAGCTCTCCATATCCTTTAGATTTCCGAAAGACACTGGAATGTGCCCCGAGATGTTGTTGTAAGAAATGTTTAACACTTTTAAACTTTCCAGATTGCCTACGGATGCTGGAATTTCACCAGAAAATCTGTTGTCTGATAAGTCCATGAACGAGTAAATACCAATGCTGTGACTCGACAGACCTTGAAAGGAGTTCTTCCAGTTCACTACCAAGTCCTGAAACTCGACGTTGTCAAGAAAATCATCATAGATGAACATGTATCTAGGCCATATGTCGAAAGGAACATACTTTGTATGGGGAGTTTCGATCATTCTTTTAAGGTTTCCGATTTCCTGTGGAATACTTCCTGTTAGGTTGTTCCCTGAAAGATCAAGAATCCGAAGAGAAGTGAGGTTGGAGATTGTTCTCGGGATAAATCCTTTAAGGGAATTGTCTCTTAGGTTTAAGACTTGAAGCGTTGGGATTTGAGGGAGAACATCATGAAAATTTCCAGTTATATCATTGCCGTGAAGATCGAGACTTTCGAGGCTTACCAAGTTACTTAAATTCGAAGGCAGGTCGCCGGAAAACTTATTCCCACCTAAAGAAAGAACTCGTGTTTCTGAAGAAAAAGTCATCGGGATCTTACCAAAAAAGTCGTTGTAGGACAAGTCTATATATGGAAGATTTTTATCTCCAAGAACAAAGAAATTATCGCCAGAAAATCTATTTCTTGACAAATCGAGAACCTGTAGCCTATACATGTGGGACATGGACATTGGAATTTTGCCGGAAAAATTATTTCCTGACAACATAAGCATGGAGAGCGTGCTAGCGTTTCCTATGTTCTCAGGCAACTCCCCGGAAAAATTATTCCGGGACAAGGCAAGAAGCTTTAACCCTAAAGATTCAAACAGGCGAGGCGGGATTGATCCTGTGAGCTTGTTATCTGAGAGGACTATGCCTTCCATGTCCATATCAGCAAGCCAAAATGGAAATTTTCCCTCCAGTTGATTCATGCTCAAATCAAGAAAAGTCAAGTCTTTCTGTGATGAAATCCATTTAGGAATTTGGCCGGAAAGTCTACATGAAGTCATAGAGATCTGTTGTAGGCTACATCTTGGAACAATGTTTGTGTTGTTATTCCATGTCAAGCTATTTCCATTTCCACCTATGAACAATCCCCTTAATGATTTGATGTTGAATAACCAAGTTGGTATATCTCCTGCTAACTTGTTGTGTTGGAGCCGAAGGGTTTCTAACTTGCTCACGTTTTGTAATGATGATGGTATTGGACCTGTCAACTCGTTCTTGCTCAAGTCAAGTGTTGTCATGTTGGGTAGCCTTCCAATGGCGGATGGAATTTGTGATGAGAAGGAATTATTAGACAAATCTAGTAATACCATCTCCTTCAAGTTTATAACTGAAGCTGGGATTTCACCTGAGAAGTGATTGTCTGTAAGGTACAATTCTGTTAACTTGGTTAGATTTCCAATCTCTTTAGGGATGATTCCGGAAAGAATATTTCTATCTAGGTACAACCTTTCAAGATTTCGAAGTTTACCAACTTCAGGGCTTAAAACACCCTGGAAGAGATTGTTAGATAGATCAAGAATTCGAAGAGATTCCAGTTCAAAAACTTGAGAAGGAATCGGACCCTGGAAGTTATTAAAACTTAACCTTAGTGTAGTCAAACTCCGAAAAGAACCCACTTCGGGTCCCAGTGTCCCAAGTAGCGGATTGACGGTCAAGTCTAAGTATTGCAGCTTCGGTAACTGTAAAAGTTGGCTGGGAATGGAACCGTTGAATTTGTTCAACGCCATGTCAAGATGAACCAATTCTGTGAGATTTCGAAACCCATCTCTGGGAATCTCTCCTAGGAGTGAATTCATTGCAATATCGAGTAGTTTCAGTGATCGGATATGGAAAAGAGGAGTAAGGATGTTGGAGAACACGGGGGCTGGATTGTTAGACTCAGGGACGATGCTATATAAGTGAAGCTCGGTAACAGCTTTGGCTTTGCTGCATTTAAGGCGATCCCATGTGCAACAATCGGAATTGGGTTTCCATGAGTTTAGTTCTACGGGTAGATAAGAACTGGATTCGGAATCGTGGATGGCGTCGAGGGTGGATTTGAAGTGGAGAAGTGCTTGTTTTTGATGAAGAGGACAAGAGGATGATGGGATTGGAATGGAATTGAATATGAAGAAGATAGATAATATTAACAGTGGTGTTGTTAGGGTGGTGGCCATGGTGATTTCCGACGGTTCTATGTTTGATTCGTTTGTAGATACGGTGATGATTATAAAGAGGATTGGAATGTTGGTCCTATTTTTCTCCTAAAAGTCAAATGTAAGGCATGATCGTGCAAGTGGAGAAAAAAATTGCGTAGAATCATCATTTCCATATCAAAAAGGATAAGGATTTGAATAAAATCATCATTATAAGTGCAGATTTAGCATTGAAATGGTCCTTCAAAACAAAAATAAATTCAAATATCTATCTCTCTAAAAATAAATATAAAACAAAAAGGAATATAAACTTTATTATTTTTTGTGTAATTTTATTTGGTGGACTGCGTTTACTTTGACTCCGATTTTCAACTCAAAAACGAAATGGTCTATGCTATTTATTTATTTGTTTCCATTTTCTTTGTGTTACTTTTTGTTTACTTTCCTAACAAAGAGAAAACTTATAGAGGTATTCGCATCAATAACCACAAAAAAGTATTACATTAGAGTTTGAAAAATGCAAAATAACAATGTTCTACAAAATCTGACATTTTCGAACACAAAATTATTCTTGTAAAAATTTTGCTTACATTTAAAATAAACTGATTTTCGAATACAGTTAGGGGTTGTTCGGTAAACCTTTTAATGATTTAATTATGGGATGACCTCTTATTTAGTCATTCAATATTCATTAAGCCGGGACACTTATATGTAGTTCCTCAGTTTTAGTAAAGGATATAAAAGAAAGCCAAGGAAAATATTCATACAAAAGAAAAAGATGGAAAAGAAAGGAAATTAGATGTTAGTGTTCCTAGTTAGAAATAAATGAAATGAAGACTAAAATAAAAATAATAAATAAATAATAAATAAATAAATAAATAAATAACCAACAAGGCCTTTAAGCTTATTTTCCTCCAAATCTCTCCAATTTGGGAGGAAGATTATCCCTCCACTTACATTCTTTTCATTTAAAAAATATATATTATCGGTAACAAGATAATTTTTTTTCACTTCCGTTTTTTCGCTTCAAGATCCTTATACCCTTTAAACCATTTTTTATATGAATATTTCCCCTGTTTTCCTCATCACTATTCATTCATTCTCCAACACACTCTCCCTCCTAACTCATTATCTTTTTGGAAAGAATGATCTACCCTAACAAGGATGTCTGGGCCAACTTAATTACAAGCACCACAACTAACCCTCATACGTTTCTCCCTATTATCTCTAGACACCATTTATCACATCATTATCTCCATCTCCATCACTATCTATAGCACAATCCATGGTCTGTCTCCCTAACTACAAAATTTGCCAGATATCTTTGGCATCATCAGGAGTAAGTACAACTAAATCTAGTTGCAAAATTGACCGACCATCTCCCTTCATCGCCACCCTTGGTTCGTCTCCCCCACCCCTCTCTCTGCTCCACCGCCTCTGTTCGATTTCAGCACCGGTGCCCCTTGTTCATTTAGGTTTTGTTAAGGTAATCAGTCCCTTATAAGCAAAAGATAGGTTCTTAATTTCGTAGACAAATTTAGTTTAAAGGTTTTGTTTTTCTTTACTATTATATTTATAGGTGATTGTTCATATATAATTCGTTTGAAGTTTCTATAAATGTAATATCATAGTTCTCTTTGTTAAATGGTGTTAAAAGCTTGTGCATGCTTTGTCATTGATTGATACAGCTTGAAATTATTTGACATACTTTTCACAGACGAATGTGAAAAAGGACTCATGTTTTCAAGATTTTATTTTCCATATCTCTTTAAGCTAAATGAAATGCTTTGTGATTATATTGGATTTCAAGATTTTGTGTGTATTGCTATTTTGTTCTCAAAGATTTCACATGTTCACGATTATTGATCTTCATTGGTCGCTTGGTTGGAGTTATTCTTAAGTTATATATGCATCACAATTGTTTCATATCCTTGATTTGATCTACACCACACATCTATATAAATGGTACAGTTGTTCTTCAACCATATAGGGTACAAGTTATCCGAGAATGAAGAAAAAGAGATCCGATTGTTTTCGTGATAGGTTTTGTGGAAGTAGCTTTTTGAAGAGTTATGGAACCAACTTGCACATTTCATTAGTAACATATGCTACTTGAGATTTTTATAGTCATGGCAATTGGTTTTGTGTCACTTCTGTTAAATAGAATAATAATATTGTAGTTGTTTTGTGAACACGCTAGTATGAGTGGTCTGAAGTGGTACTTTTATTTGGATTTTTATACATATTGTGTCTAAAATTATACATGGTTCTTTTCTTTTAAAGGAACTATTGCATGTCGTTTTATGATGCGTTATGTTTGTTATACCCATAACTAATATAAGTGTTGTATTAAATACGTACTTGTTACAAAGAAGATCTATACGGTGTCATTTTTTTGAATAGATATTGTTGAAAATATGATCAATTTAGAATATGAAGAATGATGTATCTGATGGTTTTGAAGTAGAACCTATGGTGAATTTGATTGATTTGTTGTCAATTTTCAAGTTGGTATCTCATTTGTGTGTGTGTGTGTATGTGTGTGTGTGTATATATATATATATATATATATATATATATATATATATATATATATATATATATATATATATATATATATATATATATATATATGATGCGACTTGGTCCTCCGGTTGACGATGCGGTGGCTGTAAGGTGCTTCTGGTCTCCCTGGGAGACCTACGAGGTCACAACAGGGAAAAACCGTCAGCCGTTCTCCGAGAGGAGCTCTCAGGAAAACGCTCTAATGGTCAAGTCAGTGATTGTACTGAGAGTGTATGGATAGATCTAGAAGGAAACGATTTACTGTTTGAGGTGGCGGAGGAGGCCTTTTATACTAAGACATCGTGCGAGTCCGTACGGGGGAAAAAGTCATCAGGTCCGACATGATCCGACGCTTCGATTGGTTAATCTTGCTCCTCGTAGTGCCAGAGATAACGATTGGTGACGTAATAATGCTTTGAGCATACTCCTTTTCTCTTGGATCCGTTGGGTTTGTCGCGGACATGAAGGTACCTGGTGAGGGTTGAGCCTTCCACGCGGCCGTCCAGTTCTAGAGGAACGCTCACGGGCATGAGACTTTCTTGGTTCTGCTATGTTAGGAGTCGTTTGGCCTAGCGGCCTGCCTTGAGGCGCCTTTAGCGCGTCTAAGCGTTGCGTCTTACCTATGTTAGGGAGTACGTTATCAAGTCCCCCAGTCCAGTAGTTATAGCGTTTGCTAGGCTTGCTATGATGTTATGGACTTAACTGCCTGGGCACACGTCAAGCTGGGGTTCGGGCAACGCTTCGATTTTTTCGGCGATGTGACTGCCCATTATGCCAAGCGGTTACATCATCTCTCAGGGATTTTGAATAACCCACCTTCCCTATTCCCTTATAACTGGGGATGTCTTCCTTTTCTGCTCACGCTTCCCACTTTGCTCTTTCTTTCCTCTTTGACTTCCCTTCTTTTTTCCTTTTCATCTTCATGGCGAATAAGACATGCATTATTCCCTCCGTTGCGGAATTCGAGCTTCTACGAGACACTTACGGCTTCACGCAGGCGGATGGAGTGGAGTTTCCACCTGCAGAATCTATGATCTTATCACTTCCTGTGGGGATGGTCGGTGTTTATCTAAAAACCTTCGACGCAGATCTTCGTCTTCCCCTAACCGAATTCCAGGAGGAGTTACTTCAGAAGAACGGTTGTAGTATTCAAATGCTTACTTCAAACGCCGTCAACAAGATGGTATCCTTCCTAAATACTTCGTCTTCAAGTTCTTCTTTCGGTCCAGTGCTACCGGTGACAGGTTCACCTTCACCGCTCCTAGTGGCGGCCACGTCTTGGTTCCTGATGGCAAGACTCCGAAGAATTGGAAAGATATATGGTTGTGGTTTAACCAGGAGCGAGTTGGTGGGGGGTACTACCGGGCGAACAACTTTTCCGATGTGACTCCTAAACTGTTTCTACATAACCAGGTGACTACTAATATGTTGAAGACGATCCAGGTTATTCTTAATGAGTACTCGGAGGTCCTTCTTGCTGGTGTCGGAATGAGTCCTTTGTGGCGCTCTCGGGGGAAGATGCATGTCTTCTACACTGTTGTTGACGGTAAGCGTTTCTAATCTCATTCTCTTCTACTTCCTCCCCCTTTTTTATTTATGAAAATAGCTGCGAGTGATTCTCATTGTTTGGCTAGGTGTTGAGACCCCAGCGTCAATGGATTTCGTGCTGTGGAAGAGATGGTATCCTTCCTAAATACTTCGTCTTCAAGTTCTTCTTTCGGTCCAGTGCTACCGGTGACAGGTTCACCTTCACCGCTCCTAGTGGCGGCCACGTCTTGGTTCCTGATGGCAAGACTCCGAAGAATTGGAAAGATAAATGGTTGTGGTTTAACCAGGAGCGAGTTGGTGGAGGGTACTACCGGGCGAACAACTTTTCCGATGTGACTCCTAAACTGTTTCCACATAACCAGGCGACTACTAATATGTTGAAGATGCTCCAGGTTATTCTTAATGAGTGCTTGGAGGTCCTTCTTGCTGGTGATGGGATCAGTCCTTTGTGGCGCTCTCGGGGGAAGATGCATGTCTTCTACACTGTTGTCGACGGTAAGCGTTTCTAATCTCATTCTCTTCTCCTTCCTCCCCCTTTTTTTATTTATGAAAATTGCTGCGAGTGATTCTCGTTGTTTGGCTAGGTGTTGAGACCCCAGTGTCAATGGATTTCGTGCTGTGGAAGAGATACCAAGGGAAGTTGGAGCACCATGAAATCGATCTCCACGATGCTCTCCCAACTCCTTGACATGCTGACCGCCTGGTCATTCTCCCTGTTCTGATGGCATGACCATAGGATGACTCATATACGACCGGCAGTGAGCAGACTCTTGATGTTCAACCGATCATTGTGTCCGTACCACCTTCGCCTGCTGAAGTGGTAGAGGACAACAAGGATGGGATAATCTCAACCGTCCGAATGGTCATGGCCAAACGGAAAGCGGTTTTGGCGATGGGAGAACCTTCTT